GCCCAACACTACTGATAGTCCAATGAGGGGCACAAGAAGGAGTGAAAAGATGCCAACTGTGAATCTTTCCTTGTTAGGTGTTCTAGCTTTTCAAGGTTACATCTTTTCCATCACACTATGAAGGATGAAATGTGTTTCGAACAAAACTTTTCAGATATTTCCATTTGTACGTCAGGGCATCCCGTCTCTCTGTAAAGGCAAGAAAGCTCAGTTTCTTGTTGCCGATCAATATCAATTAAAAAAAACAACAACAACACCGTGTTGATTACTGCAGCCTTTGATTATGTCACCTTCTATTTGAACAGAATTAGAGTTCATGTGATTTTAAATATAGATAGTACTGGAGACATCGTTATTAACAGATTGTGATCTTTACCAATTCTCTTGCTTCAGGACTCTCTCACTGAAGGCCTTGAGCAATTGGGACTTATCTCAAGGCCAAGGTCCTTGCTAATTGTACAATTTCAAATCATCTCTTTCTCTCTTAATACATTTGAAAAGATAATAGCTACCCAATTTACTATATAACTTTAGAGCAACGTGGTACTCAGATGTCTCTGCCTGACATTTAGGTCATTTCACAGCACCAAGAATGCACTTTTAGAAGTAATTTCCAACTAAACGCAGCTCTGACTCTGACTCTTAAACTTGTATTTTCATTTATAGATTTTCTTGCCATGTGGAGGCAGTGCTGAATGCTTGGTGGAGATATTATAAAAGTAAATACGTCCCAAAGTTTGGGAAGCAGTTACCATATTAAACATCCAGTGGATATAGCACCATCTTATATGCACTTTCCTCCGAGCTTTTTTTTTGTTCTCACCATCTACTTGCTCCTATTCTCAGAGATTATTCTTGATTAGATTTCCCTAGTTCATTATGTGGTGCTTGCATGTAACATCTAATGAAATTTTAAGCTTTTTCGTCACTATGTCTCGAAAACAATGCTGATAAGAGTGATGAATGTGGAACATAAAGCCCAAGACAAGTTACAGTTAGTTAACAGTTACAAACATGATCATTTACAATTAAAAACAATGTACAAGTTACTTTTAATATGAATGTATTGTATAACTTTTTGCTTTCTACAATCAGCAAATATTTTTATGACAACAGGTGAATTTAAAATGTTATGCTCAAACAGAAGGAAGTATAGGTGGAAGTCAATGTGTTAGGTGGGCTGGCAGAGTGTGCACACAGGCTGATGGTACGACAGATTCACACTCTCAGACTTCCACTGATCCACAGGTGGCAGTGAAATGACTTCATATGCATCAGGGTACAAATAGCCTGCCAGCTACTAAAAACTGGATCAAATACTACAGGATTATGATTTTTTTTTTTTTTTCAGAAGAGAAGGAACTCACTGAATTCTCTTTTTTTCCCAAAGCATTTGCCTTTTAATGGTTAATTGTTGCTCATTGTTGAATGCTGAAATTGTATTATTTAAATTAGGATCATTGATGTGACAGTCCCAAATCATTTTTTTTAATAGCTGCCATCAGTTGCTCAAATGGTTCTAAATGTGCATGCATAATTTAACATTCTAAAAATTCACAAAAAGGAGATTATACATACTGTAATTTCTCTCAATAATTTTTTTACCATGACGCTATCTCTCTTTGCATCCACTTAACCCTGGGCAGGACAAATCACTGATAAGGGAATAGTCAACGGACATATACAAACTGGCTACTACTAACAGAGCCTTTATTGACCATAGGATATATTTAATGCAGTTTTCTTCCAATAATCAGTAATAAAACATATTGTGTTGTAACCAATTTAATACACCAAAATGTCTTTAATACATATGTTGTCCACTAGAGGGCACATTGAAGTGTATTTTGCAAGAATATGATGTTGCATAATAGAACATATTTTAGTCAGTGCATCATGTTTTCTGTACAACAACTTTCAAATCTGACTTATATTTACTTTCAGTTCTTTAAATCCACAGGACGTTTAAGAACGTTTTATCAACACTTTAAAAAGCAGAGTTTTTTTTTTCTTTGGCACCTTTTTCATACTTTTCCAGGGATTCTAGTCTATTCCTTCTCTGAATATGATCTTAATATATTTGACTTTTAATGAATATGTGTAAGGGGTCTGAGCTGTATCTGATTTGGAATTTAATAGCTTCCTGAACTTTACTGTAGAATGTAATGTACAGTATGTGTAATGGCTTCTTCACTGTAAGAAACAATCTGCAGGAACTTAATGTGGGCCTCTGTGGAAGAAAGCTCTCTCCAATTTTGTGAATTTGGACTGCAGTATCAGTTTTAATCACTAGGTGTCAGAGTAACATATTACTCCTTTAATCTTTAAAAAGAAAGTAAACAAACACACATTTTCAAACCTGCAATCTAACCAGCAGGGGAATGTGCTGGAATTGCTGTATCATCTTCCTCTGCTTAGTTCATCCACATGCTTATGAACAGATCAAGTGAATGTGTTTTTCCATTCCAGCCCTTTTAGCCTGGTTTTACCTGCATTATACAAAGTAAAAACCATTCCCTGCCTCAGACATTTTGATAGAAGTATCGATTCTTGAGTCATCATGGTGCAAGGTAATGAAAGTACTACAAGGATTCACATGAAAGAAAGGGAGCCGGAGGCTAATAGTGTTCCACCTACCGTATGGTACCAATCATTATTAAACTATTCATTCAGCGCTGCAGGCTACGATCGTAGCATTCTGAATACATCATGCTACCTCAAAGGTAAAAGTACCCTTAATATACGACATTTAGTGTGCATCAAAGTGATGACATTTTTTAGACGTTTTGCAACATTAAAACAGCTAAATCGGTTGGTTATCATGCAGAAGTATTTTCTTTCTTCAGTCTCTTTGGTCTAAACCTCTCTCTCTCTCCTGCTCTCTGCTTCTCTGCCATGGGTGTTTAACTCAATGGCTCTCATTCATCCACCCAAATCTCAGCTCTGACTTTGTCCGCAGGCATTAGGGTTTTTCTCTGTCAACCTCAGACAGGACTGTAAATACCATGACATGGTACCTACTTTGTTCTGAATCTCTGCTCTCTCCCTGTCGATCCCTCCTTTTATCCACCTTTCCTCCCTGCACCATGTGCTCCTGTAGATTAGAGTTGGCTCTGGGCATCTGAAAATCCCAGATGTTGTGGGCACAAGTGCATGTCTCCAATTGTCCTTTTGTCTTTTGAGAGAGCACGGCACAGAGATGTTGCCGCGTCAGGGCCAACATGAGGTTAACAGAAGGCAGACTTCAGCCCAGCCACCATGGAACTCTAAGCTAGCTTTGCCCCTCACAACTAGCACTCACATTTTTGCAAATCTAAATCTCCAAACCCCTGTTTTCGTCTTGCTTAGCGGAGCCAGACAATGACTTTTTGGAAGCTTTGCCCTTTTTTCCTTTTTTAGTTGAACATCCAGGGACATGTTCTTTAATAGCCTGCAGCCTGTTTAGGTGTCTTTCTGCACTCAGATTTTGATTGGCAGCCCAGAGGCTCAGGCAGTATTACCATAGTTATCTCACTACTGCACATGCCTAAAGCACTCACAGCCACCAGAGCTGCCTGTCACGCCTCTTAACTTGCAACCTATAGAGTTCACTCCTCAAAGGGATAAACAGGCAAACGAGGATTGTGTCGGCTTTACAAAAGTCACCAACGTTATGCAGCAAGGTGATCTCTGTTAAAGCCGAAGCTGAGATCTTTGCAGGGACCCTGAAATAATTGATGATGCTTTTATGTCTTTTGTTTCCTCTAACATTCCCAAAATGAAGATTCATATTTGAAACATTGAGAGGCACCAAACAAGGAGGCATGTCTTTAGATTTGGAGTGTGCAATTTCCTTCTCAAGTAATTTACTACCAGGCTGGACAGCAAAAATTGTAGGACAGAAAAAAATGTGCTGAGTGCTGCTGTTTTGATTGAATTGACTGCTCACGTAAATGAGGGAGGCGAAATGCAATTTTCAAAATTGGATGGTGTGTGTTTTCCCGTTTAATTCCAGTGCAATCGGGAGTAACAAGTAAATGAAGTAAAGAAATATTTATCATGTAGAGATGATGTGGTTATAAATTATTTTCAGAGAGTCATTGGTGCTATAACTCCACAGGGAGACGGGCTGATTGAAGATTGTGCCCTGAGCGGCAGCAGGATGTATTCTCTCGAGGAGTCCAGACATTGGAGATGGAGTTGTTTGCTGATGATGTTGCTTGATTCTAAAGATGGCTTGAATGAACTGTGATCATATGATTGGCTCAGAGTGGATTATTCACCCAGTTGATGGGTACCTATTCTGACAACAACTACCCTACAAATGTTCCTTTTTTAAACTCTATCCTCGAATGCCGGAAAACTTAATTCTAAACTCAATTTTAATTACTTTTTTTAAACTTTTACTTTTTTTTTTTAAAGCAATTTACCTTTTTAATGAATTGAAGGATTTTTTAAATCGTTTACTCATGAGCTTTTTAAATGCAAATCTATGATGTTTTTTATTTCTCTGTAAAGCACCCTGAATTTGCCTCAGTGTATGAAATGTGCTGTACAAATAAAGCTGACCTGCCTTACCTAGGCTAACATTCAGGGTAAAGATGTAACCAGGTGATGAGAATGGCTGATCACTGGAGGAAAGTGTGAGTGATCATTTGCTGTGGGAGTGAATGCAAAACAGTATGAGAAATGAGATTCAGATTCTTTATTGTCACACAAAGGGGAAATTTGTTTTGCAGCAGTAGCACAAAGAACAATAGACAAGGCGTGCAAAAAATACATTTTTCTCTTTCTTTCATGAGAGCTTCATTTTAAAGCTCAAATATGTATTGATGAAAATGGAAATATACATTCATTTGATGAATATTTTTGCATTATCTCAACTGAATACAGTCAATGTAGCTGCATGAGAAAAACAAAGAAAAGACCACAAAACACATACTTGTGTTAAAAATGACAATCTCCATGTCCTTCTCTCTCTCTCTCTCTCTCTCTCTCTCTGTTTCTGTCTGTCTCCTCAGACTCTCATGGGATGGATCTGTTTGCGGTTGCGGTCCATGAGTTCGGTCATGCCATCGGCCTGGTCCACACGTCAGCCATGGAGTCCATCATGAGGCCGTACTACCAGGGTCCAGTGGGAGACCCTCTGAAGTACGACCTACCCTATGAAGACAAGGTCCGAGTCTGGCAACTCTACGGTACGAGGGAATATCTCTCTCCTGTGTATATGTGTGTGTGGGATGGATAGAGAGAGAGAGAGAGAGAGAGAGAGAGAGAGAGAGAGAGAGAACAATTGATGAGGTCTGTAGAGAAAGGTTATTGATTAATGAAAACATGGAGTGAGTTAATTGGACCTCTTTATAGCATATGACCTTATCACACCGCTGTGTGATATAGAAAGCAGCAGAATGGGAGAGAGACTAATGATCATGAAGATGAGAATGAAGTGCAGGAAGGACCGCTGAGGGCCAGGACTGTGAAGGAGGAGGGGCCTAAAAACATTTGTTTTAAGAGCAGAGTTAAACACAGTAAGAATTGTATGCAATTATACAATTAGATATCAACATACTGTAATGATACTGGGGAGTGGAAGTGCTGAACAAATCAAATCATGTAAGGAATAGGTAGCGGTTTTTAAGTTCATTTTTTATTTTCTTGAAGAATAAGTTGTACCATTAATTTCCTTGTCATTGTGTGTTCATTTGATCTTTTCTCCCTTAGGTGTCAGAGACTCCGTTTCCCACACAAATCGGCCCGGCATCCCCTCCCAGACGGCTGAACCTCCTGTCCTGCTGGACCTTCCTGAAAACAGATCCACTCTCCTGTGAGTAGAAGACCTGGTGTCCTTCACATAGACCTGAACTTCTCTGGTTGAAAACATATTAAAAAGAATAACTTTAATCTCTTCAGCAATAACTCTCCGTCCTCTCCTTATACTTTTCTTTACTTTTCTGGCCCCTCTCTAATACACACTTCGTGTTTCATTCTTTGCCACGTGCCCTCTGGCCAGTACTCTGTCCACAGCTTCAGTAAAGGGAGTGGAGCACAGTGATAAATGCCCCCTCTGGACGAACACTAAAAAGGACAGTCAAAAGTAAAAAAAGACCTACTAAATACTGCAGTGTGGAGCCTCGAGGACAGGTCTTCATCCCTTCTTTTTTTTTTATACATTGATACTGACTTCCTCCAGAGCCCAGCCAACTGAACTTAAGAACATCTTATGCAGATAAACTGTCCTGTTCATATCATGGTTATATTAAGTTATATCAAACTGCACATTGTTCAACTACTTACAGATGTTGCAATCACTTATGGAATTTAAAAAAGGTTGCAAATAACTGTAAGGTCATTTAAGTGGCAGAAAGTGTGTCAGCCATTGATTCATTACTTTAAGAAGGATTGAATGAAACCTTTATTGCCCCTAGGGGTATTTAATTTGCAACGAGAGCCTAAAAACTCAATTCAAACAAACATCGAACAGCACATAAAAACACATTAAAGCATCATATGATTAAATGAAGGATTTCAGCAGCAATTTAAATAAAGTGCAGAGTGCCAAGTTCATACTGTATAATCAGAGCTTCTTAAGCAGTGGTATACTGCGTTTTACAGAGGATGTAATGCCTCTTTCTGTACCTGCGCCCTGAAGTCAAGAGTTCATACTCCGACCAAAGGGGTTGCAGAGGGTCTGCTGTAATCTTGTTGGCTAAAATCAGGGTGTACTGGTCTGTCAGGTAAGACACTGAACCTGGTTTTCAGGCTATAACAGAATGTCTTTTTCTTTATTCAGATCTATATTTCAATGAGTGAATAAAGAAAATGATTCATTGCCATAGATAACATGGAAATGTGACATGACAGAAGGTATTTGGCGCTTGGACTCTATTGGGGTGGTTGATGTGTTTGGAGAATGTCAGCTCTGGAAGGCAACAGAATAAATCCAGAATTTGAAATCCAGAATAAAGCCAGCAAGGCAGCTGTAGAAGTACCCCCTGTTTGGTACAAGTACCCATCTGGGTATCACTGCTTGGGTACATCTCGAATGATTAGCTATAGCATGCCACACAGGTCAACGGCTCTCCATCTCTGCAGTGTGCCCGCCATGAGTGTTCTCAGTGGAATGGACAGGAAGCAGGTTTAAACCCTCTGGAACAAATCCATCATTATGTTTGCATTTTCTGATAATTTGGTATTCAATAGAGAGAGAACATTGAAGCATGAACGTTAATGTAGCATAAACATAATGAGTGGATTTGTAAAGAGGGATATTTTAGTTGAAAGAACAATGTTTACAAGGTCCAGAGTGCCGCTAAAGGAAGGTTCAAAATAACTGGAATCATCATATGGCGAGTATGAATATCAAAACAAAATGTCGTTCTAATGTTTGCAGCGGTTGTAAGGACATGTGACTCAGGAGCAGGGAGATACTTGATCAGACCCACCCTATATTCTGTGCAATGCACCGTGTGCCTGTCAGACTACACAGCACATGCTCTTTAAGGGAATGTTGAGTGATGACCTGGATTCATGAGTCTTTTATCTGTTATTTCACACGACTCCCTACAGCAGGATCCAAGCTGCTGCGCTACAGTATCTCTCCTCCCCACCAGGAAAATGACTTATTAGTGTTATCTTTATATTTTTGGGCCTGTGTCTGGCACATATTTTACTGCCCATGAGCTACAAGGCAAAAAAAAAAAAAATGTTCAAGTGCATTTTGAACTTCATGTATGAGTATCAACACATTTGATTTTCATTCGACACGACTGCAAATTAACCTCACATCCTTCTTACTTTGCAAATAAATTAAATGTACTCTAATGATCTTTTTAATTAATGGGATCAAGAGAAGGCAGCTTGCTGACCTCCGTGCATACACCCACACTAACTAACAAATCTTATGCAGGAGACTAAACAGGCATTTAAAAGCTCTTTTTTTTTTTTCTCACAAGTACTGCCCTTTTCCACCGCACTCATTACTCATATTTCACCACCTCCATCTGGTCGCGACGTGTGGAAAAACTGGATTAAGCTCGCGAAAGGGTCACAAACGCTGACCGCGAGGCCAAGTTGTCGTGTTAATAGATCTCTGAATGGAGATCTTTGTTGATAAAAACCAGAGCGGGCGGCCTCCCACTCACAGTGGCAGATCTGTGGTGCTAATGGCTTCCATCATTGGCAGGCAGACCACGTCAGTGCTTTAAATCCCTTTGCCCCCGGGGGAGATGTGCACTGGGGGGACCTCATCATGTCAGTGGGATAGCATTCAACCTAATGTTTAGCCTATTTAATTGAAAGAAACACATGCAGATACATGCACACATTAAGACGCTCTCAGTAGGCGGCCGCAATAATTACAGTTGGAGTTTCTTTGTATGCAAATGGATTCAACTGCTTGAGGTCTTATTTCGTAAGCTGCAAACGTGATGCTTCAAATGCTCATTGCACAGACTATAAATGTTTTGTTTTTTTTATAGTGAAAACTTTTCCTGTTTCCTGTCTCTTTTAACTTTTCCTTTCCTGTCCTCTGCCTCTCCCTCTTCCAGGCTGGCTCGAGATGCCCCCGACAGATGCACCAGTCACTTTGATGCAGTGGCCCAAATAAGAGGGGAGGCCTTCTTTTTCAAAGGTATTCAAGTCTATTAGGAGAAAGTAAACAAGAGAGACAGACGGGACAGACGGATAGATGGAGAGTGACAGAGAGACAGAAGAGGGGGAAAAAGTGGTGAATGGAGAGGGAGATAAAGGAAACGAGTAAGAGACAGGGGGCTGGGCGAGTGGTGGCTCCAGTGATCAATAGAAAGCCAAGTCATGTGTGGCTCCCAGGGCTTGTATCACAGACTCACACACTGTCACATTTTCTGCGGTCTACACAAAGTGGTCCCAAAGGGCCCACCCTGCAGTATACTTCCTATCTGCTGAGCTGGGACTTTTAAGCTTATTAACCAGTGAGTCTGGTAAATTAAACAAAGCGTATTAAAACATAGCAGGACATGAACCTTACTGGCTCTTTCAGAATATGTCAGTTCTTGCTTAATTGTTTTGTTACAGCTCTAAACCTTCACACAAGCCTTATTTCCTAACTTGCTTTTTTCACAGGTAGATAAACAACAAAAATGTCAAGTGCAGAACACAATATTTTCAGTAATTATTTACATTTGAGTTCAATTTAATAACATGTGGGGCTTTAACTGGTCTCTGTTACCAGCTGTTTGATGACTCAAGATATCTGAATGTGACTTTTCTTTTGTTACACTCTTCCAGGATGTTGGGAAGATGTTCTTCTCGCTAATCTGTTGCTTTCTGTCATAGGGAAGTATTTTGGCGGCTTACCAGAGAGAGGCATCTGGTTTCTCTGCGTCCCGCTCAGATCCATCGCTTCTGGAGGGGTCTCCCACCCAACCTGGACAGTGTAGACGCTGTGTATGAGAGGCCAGGCGACCACAAAATAGTATTTTTCAAAGGTAAATATTCCTTTGTATGTGTCTGGGATACTTCTGTCTAAAAGCCAAATTGAACTTAAAGTGTCAGTGTTTTTTAGTATTCAGGTGAATGCATACAACTATAAGATTATGAATTGTCTTTTATTGTGACCTCTGTTTCCACCATGTTCAGGTCTGAAGTACTGGGTATTCAAAGACAATAATGTAGAGGAGGGTTACCCTCGTCCAATCAGTGACTTCGGCCTCCCCTCGGACGGTGTGGACGCAGCTTTTGTTTGGCTCCACAACGACAAAACCTACTTCTTCAAGGACAACCAGTACTGGCGCTACGACGACCACCTGAGGCGTATGGATCTGGGATATCCTAAAGACAGCACGCTGTGGAAGGGGCTGCCAACGCACCTTGACGACGCCATGAGGTGGTCTGATGGTGAGTAGTAAATCGAGAGACTTGTTTTCTTGTTCATCTCATTTTAAATCAGCTCGCTGTGTTATTCAGTCTGCTCTGAGGTTGCCAAAGTTAAATGTGCAGATATTAAATAAATGAATGTTTAAAAATGATTGGGAAATTTATACAAAGGTATTTTGGTAAGGACTAGTATGCAGGCATATTCTGAAAGGATTTTTCTGACAGAAGTTTTTATCGTGCAAGTGAACACTATAACCTAACAACACTCACAAACACACACACACTCACACACTCATATGTTTAATAAACAAGGCCATCTAGACGTAGAAGCTCTTGCAAACTAAGATGAGTGCAGACTAAAAAGCAAATGATCTGTGACCCATAAAAAGTAAGCTGTGGTTATGGAAACACTACTGCTGTATGTTTGCCTTCGGGGATCCAAGATGCTCAAGTTTCCAGACGCAAAAACTTTTTTCATTAAGACACTGAGTCAGTGTACCAGAAAGTGGTTGTAAGACTGGCATCTCGGCCAGCCAACAACAGCCTTGACCTTTACACTGCAAACACTGGAGAATCGTGTTGGGTGTTATGAATCCACAAGCTGGTCTCCCTTTATTAACTCAAGCTGAGACTGTGAGCCAGTGGTCGGCTTCATGGGCAGCACACAGTTTAGAAAAAACACTAGGATGCAATGATAAGATGTCTAATCTAAACAAGGAGGTCTAACAGATATTCCCCTCCTGCATTAACCTCTGCAGATCCATCTTCTGATAACACTCTGCCTTTCCCCCGTCCTGAGATTAAACCAAAGTTTGAGACAGTCAGTCAGTTGTCTCTCTGTAGGGCCTGAACAGCACAGGAAAACAAAAAAGACAATGACAAGAACCATTTGGGCAGACATTCATTTTACAGACTGCCCACTACAGCTACAGTGAATCAGTCATCAACTAATTTGCCTGGATCAGTTACCTCACTGTAGACTCCCCACACCACCATCACAGTGTCTCTCCCACACATGCACACAAACACAGTTTCACGTATACTGTTTCACCATATTCCACTTATTGAACAATGCAAAAAGAAAATGTTAACTATTTTGAGCTTGTCGGTATTAGTAGCATTTGCATTTAGTTGTGTTTGTTACTTTTGTATTTCTTTTTTGTTTTTACTTATTCTGAATCACATCTTAGTGCAGTTACAGTCTGATATATACTCCACGTTTTAAGTCAGTCTTGAAGTGTGCAGCAATCCCATAACTGAGCATATTTTTATATTTTACTTACACTCTTGATCACCCTTTTACCTTCCTAGAATTCTTTGTTTGTTAATCAAAGTATTAATACCAGCAATTGATCATATGACATTTTTTTGGAAAATGGACATATAGGCAACAAAGAAAAGTATTTATTTATTTAACTAACTATTATAATCAGGTATAAGGAGCTTTGCACACAGAATAACAAAAACAAATGGAAAAAGAGATGTTTGAGGCCTTAGACTGAAAAAAAAAAGATGGGCGACATGACAGATCTCCAAAAGTGAGGCCAAAACATTTTAGACTCTCCTACTGACTGTCTGGAGTATAGGTTGTAAACCCCGCCTCCTCAATGGGACCATCTATAAAATAACAATACAATCAAATACATTTTTTCTCAAACATTGTTTCTGTCATTATTACTTCTTATCATGCCAATTCATGTCAGAATGCTTATTTTTCTGAGACGTTTGGTTTTAATGTATTATTTGATCCTATAAAAAGAGGTATGCGCCATGATTGACAGGTCTGTTGACAAATACAGCTCCTGCAGAGTTGTGTCTACCATATTAGTTTAAGAGAGTAAGGGGTCTACCGAGGTAAGATAAAAAACTAGCAAAAAAAAGCATAAGGAGCAACAGAGTCCGCTAAACGATGCTGTAATAGATTCTCTGTCCATCTTTATATCGAGTCAATGGCTGAGGCTGAAACAACAAATAGGTGACCACCTTTTTTCCAATAGTATTGCTTTTAGTGTCAAACCACACCAAAGAGAATTACATTGGTCTCTGGATTTTCCCTATGAGGCACTTTAGCCTCTTTTAGTTTGTTGCTTTACGTATATTTCCGTTTGATTTACAACTTTTTCTTTCATCAAGATCATTTTCAGAATAAACAGGCAGCTGTTTTCAGTGAAGAAGCTCTAGAAAAGCATGTCACTGTACCTGCCCAGCACCAGATGGCAGAAAGGAAAAAGTTAAGAACGAACAACTGCTAAAGATGTAGATATTCTCTGTGGGATTTGTGTGTTGAGTGTTCATCTGGCAGCGCATTCTGTAAGGTTGATATTGAATTTCCTCATACAGTGTTGCAAATGCCAGCCCAAACAGTCAGCGAAGGATTTATCAGACGAATCATTTTACCTGGCTTAATAGATGTTTGTTGTCATTGCACGTGTGTGTCAACATGATTTCTTTTGCCATTATGTGTCAGTGTGCTGCTGTTGACTGAAATCCACAAAAGCTTGGGCATCATTCACTTCGCAGCAGTGAGAACAGCTATTTTATCAGGTGTTGTCTCTGCACATCTCCAGTTTCAGCGTGAAATGTTTTTTTCTAAACTTCTACATGTGAGAAGAAAAATCCCCCTCTCTCACACACACACACAGGCACACACACACCTACACAAACACACCCATACACATTCACTCATTCTCTGGCCATGCACTCCTTCTCTTTGTTACTTTTTTTGAGTCTGTTCTGTTAATCCGTTGCCACTAACTATTCCTTTATCAGAAATGTTTCATTGTGGCGGCATTGGCACTTCTTCCGACTCGTATAAAAATCAAACTTTATCCAGAATGTGATTGTAGTGTGTGAAATCTCTTTTAAGAAAGCCAAGGAAGTGCCAGATGGAAGCCACGAGCATTGTTCTCTGCAAAACCAGCACACATTGGCTCATGTGTTGTTGTCTGTTTGTTGTTGTTATTTTGACATGTGGCCAATCACTGACCCGGCAACTTACTCAACCTTTTCCCACCTGCCACTGCTGACCTTTTCGAACATAAATCAGCCTCTTATGATCTTTGACCCATCAGTGTGGCTCCGACAGGTATTGTGTTTGCAGGGGAGACAAACAAAAATCTTCTATTCTTCTTTTACAAAAGGATCAAAGTAAAATACTCAGGGTGTCATTGGACACAATGAGACATGAGCAGTACATAAGTAATGTTGTTACTGGTCTGTATAGATTTCTGATTCTGTGAGTAACATTACAAGTAGAGGTAAAAATCTGATCTCAGAGCAGTGACATGCATGCCTTTGAATGTTTCTAATTAACAGGCTGAGGTGGTTGGAAGCAAGCAGTTTAATCCAGCACAAGGAACATCGGCAGAACACTGAACGCCAACATAATAATCAAGATAATGGGAACATTCACAGGAGTCAGCATCTGAAGTACTAAACATAGCCTCAAATAGCTTTACCTTACATTAAGAATGTGGTTGTTGTAATTTCCTCCATAGAACGATAACGCTTTCAGGCGTAAAGTAGAGAGTCCAACTCAGTGAAATAGCTTTGTCAATAAAAGCAGCTGATCGTTAAAGAAGGCCCAAGGTGATATTCATGACCAATTTAAATTAACTACTGATGCACCGAAAAAATGCATTATTTCAAACACATATATATAGTTTATATTATTCAATTAGTGTGTGCGTTGATTCGTGTGTCTTTTCGCTCCCCTTAACCTCCCTTTTTAACTTTTCCTGTAACCTCCCTCTCTCTTCTTCTCCCTCTGGTTTCTCTAATCGTGGCCACTTTTATAGGAGCTGGTTGGGTAATGTGGCCATTATTAGAGCATGTCACACACAACTCTGCAATGTCAGTAATCTTTACAGTCTATGTGCATCTGTCCCTGTAAAACAGCTTCTATAAAATGTCTAGTGGTTGCTGTAAAACCCTCATATACACTACATGAGCAGGAATGTGTGTGTGTGTGTGTGTGTGTGTGTGTGTGTGTGTGTGTGTGTGTGTGTGTGTGTGTGTGTGTGTGTGTGTGTGTGTGTGTGTGTGTGTGTGTGTGTGTGTGTGTGTGTGTGTGTGTGTGTGTGTGTGTGTGTGTGTGTGTGTGTGTGTGTCAGCTCCCAACTGGCCCTGTGTAATTATGTGCACTTTAGCTTCACACTGCCCTTTATGGTGAGTCATTATTATGGTGAAGAGTAAAATGAACTGCATTATGAGGGAAATAATCACAATGTGCCTCTTACAATTATACTGCATGGACAAGAGGCTGAAGGTTCTGATGAAGCCGATGAAAACATTTTATTGAGAAGTTTTGAAGTGTGTGTCAGCTTCAAATTTCTTTTATACTTTTTTTTTCATGTGTTTTAGTATACTGAAATATTCTCAGTGAGAGTTGGCCGCCCGGTCTAAAAAGGTTTAAATTGAGTGTCTTTTTCATAACTTGATTCAAGCACTGTGAAGCAAAAGAGGATGTGGGGGATAATACGATTTAACAAGCCTTAAAATATGGAATAAGTCAAAAGGCAGCTGTTAGACCATCAATCATAGTCTTGCATATAAATAGTCATGAACACTGGGGCCCTTTTATCACTAGAGGAATCACTTTGGATTGCTTTCAGGGTAGAAAAACAGTGTTTTGATAAAACTGGGTGTATTTTAATAGCCCTCTTCAAGCATTTTAACATGGTCTTCACAAAAGCAGTTCAGGCAACCAAGCAGAATTCCAGCGTTGGTGTCCACTGTTACTGGAAGAGATACCAATTTGTGTCATTGTCGATCTCGCTTTCAGTCAACACGTTAACACTCAGTTCTGGTCCTTGAAGGGGTCATATTATGCTTTTTTCTGGTTTTATATGCTCTTTAGTGTGTTTTCCAAGTGTCCTGTGCATGTTTAGGCACATCTATGTGCAAAAATTCAAAGTCTGCGAAAACGCAGAACGTTCGGTTCTAGCCCCCCTCGAAAAAAAAATTCCAGTGTGACGTCATTGTCAGTGTGATATCACTGATCTAAGCCCATTGGCTCGTTGTGGCAAGCCCTGCAGCTCATGTTGCACGCCCGTTAACTTCTGTAGCACGCCCACCATATGCCGTAGCCTGCGGTAGCACAGTAGTGCTAAGGTGCTAATGTTTACGCTCCCTTCAGAGACAAAGTGGCTGCATTCCCAATATGGTAAAAGGGGCGTGACATTTCCGAGAACGTGCTGAGGGACTGACCAATTACGGCAGAGCCGACAGGCCGACCAATCAGATCAGACTTGGCACACGTGGGGACTCTGAACGTGGGCACTTCAGAGCCTTAGAGAAAGAGTCAGAAGCGAGCCGGTGCATGAAAACAGACACTTTTTTAGAACTTTAGCTATTGTGAACATACTTTAGTAGTTACATAGATTAAATATACAAACCCCCAAAAGGGCATAATAAGACATCTTTAGAGAATATCAAGCTGTACGTTTGGATGCAAATCATTTTAGCATTTGATCATGGAATTCCAAGTAACATGTATCAGTTTGTTTGTTTTTCCACCTTCAGCAGCGAGAGAGGAGTTCCCTAACCCTAACCATAATTGTTGATGAGTTTGTCTGTATTTTTGCAAGCCTTGTCCTGTACATGTGACACAAATCAAAAAGCTAGTGCATGTGGTTTATACTGAGTCCAAGCTCTTTATGAATCTTGTAGGTGTTGCTTAGTGTTGTGCTCATGATGGATTGACTGAGGGATGTCAGATGTTATAGCGATGAGTAAGGTCTTTTACCTGCTTTCTGTAAAGTGTCTTGAGATACCATTTGTTATGAATTGGCGCTACACAAATAAAGATTGATTGATTGATTGATTGATTGATTGACTGATTGAGTGATGAAGTCACTTGTATTGTTAAATGCTAAACAAGGTTGGTGTATTTTTAATTTAACCTTCCTTTATGAGTAGGACCTGATACGTATTCAGCCAAGTCTAGTTTTTGAACTAAAAATAGGAGTTTTGGAAACAAGTTGATATTCCCATTAGGGGTTTTTTTTGGTAAGATTCTAAGACCATCTGTGTGTAACAAATTATAAAACTGTCTTTTTGTTGTTTTTTTGTGCTTGAACACTGTGGGGTAAATCAATATTGCTATTTTACAGCATGTCTGAAGGCTTTGTGATTATCTAGATGTTGTCTGCTACAAATGCCTTTTTTCTCATCGTGACTTAGAAAAAGATGTTGTAATTGTTTCTCCTAAGAATAATTTATAAAAACCAAAGTCCGCGAGAGTTTCTAATTCCCTGTTAATTTATAGGTTTCTTCCACAAAATGTCCCTAGCGTCCTTACATGTATCCTAAATAGCAGCGTTTTAGCTTGTTACTGTGGTTATAAACTGGCAACGTTATTACACCAATTCACTCTAGGAACAGAAAAGATTTCCAGCCACACTTTCACATTATACTACCAGCTTGTTCCTGACATTTCTTTTGACTGGACCGAGGCTTTATCTGTTTCTGGTCCTCGGGTGCTGGTAAAAGGTTGCCTGCTGTTCCTGCAATTAGAACTGGTCATATGCAGAGGACTTACTACTCTCCCTCAGGAATGTATAATGTTTACTTTATCTGGCATGGCTTTGGCAGCCTTTACTAAGAAAAAAAAACACCCCTAAAGAAATGCCTCCACCAGTTGGCTGTGCAGATTAGGCTTTGATAAAGCACTTAGTAGATGTTCAAAACTGGCACAAGAACAACTAATTAGCAGCAGGTAGTGTTTATTTCAGGCTGCTCTCAGTGGGAGTAAGCAACATCACCTCTCTCCCCTGCAGCAACTCCCAGCTGAACGCGTGGACGCTCTTTCTCCTGTCAGGTGTTAAGAGGTCTGTCTGTGCTTCTGCCAGCTTCAGAGGTTCTGCTCCAGGTTCTTTGATGAGTGCATGAGCGTGTGTGAGAACCAGAGAGAGAGAGAGAGAGAGAGAGAGGGCAGACCAAAGACAATATAGAAGACTGTCCCTGCAACAAATTCACCACCCCTATAGTATACAGTTATAAAATGCATGCATATACATACAACACAAAAGTTCCCATACAAACACCTTTCGGCCAAGAAACTGGAACCACATCAAAGCTTTGATCTGCCTTTAGGCTGCTATAGGACAGAGAGAAAACAGTGAGATAGAGAGAAAAAGGCGAGGAGAGAAAACTGAAGAAGACATGGTGACAAGTCACAAGTCAGTGAAGAGTAAGTGAGAAGGAAAGTGAGACCGCCGAGATATCACAGGCTTTAAGAGACGGATAAGCTGAAAGGAGGAGAGGAATGGTAGAAGAGAAAAATGCTCCGGGGGAAAAAACATTTGTTGTAGGAAGCAGAAAAGAAACATCTGTTTTATACCATTGTCTTTCTCAATATTCCTGTTGATGTAGTGTTTGCTGTATATCAATACTTCATTTGCATTATCTTATTTATCTCAAGGGCACAAACAAAACAAAACAAAGTGGAATCTGTGTTTTTAACTTGTCTCTTTCAATGTTTTACTGTATTTTAGAACTTATACTAACATTGACCCTCTTCTCTCTCCCTGTAGGCTCGTCCTACTTCTTCAAGGGGAAGGAGTACTGGCGAGTGCCGGGCAGTGACATGGAGGTGGAGGCAGGATTCCCCCGCCTCATCGCCAAAGACTGGCTCCTGTGCACAGAGATGCAGTCGGACTCTCCGGACACAGAGCCCAAAAGTACGGAGACAAGAGGCAACGCGCACCAACACCCGGACCACGCAGAGAACGGGTACGAGGTGTGCTCCTGCACCTCGGACACTGCCTCGCCTTTAGGTGCCCGCCCCTCCCCCTCTCCCCTGTGGCTGCTGCCACCTCTCTGGACGCTCTCGCTGGCCCTCCGCTCTGAACTGCTATGATGCCAAAGCAGGGGACAAAGTGGCAGTTTAATGTGGGGGGGGGGGGCCAGTGGACTCAGTCGAAATACAAACTGGAACATTTTGTTCATATAAATATGAATTGATTTTGTTATGATTTTGTTGTTATTTATTTCACATGCCATTTGATGGTCATTTAAAGCGCCTTGCAGTATGGGTAATACATGCATATATACATTATCATAATATACAAGGGAACATGTAGTAACCAGTCCACTGACTGAGTGATAATGCTAACAACGTGCTTTATAAATTGCATTAAACAGAACCACAAGTTCTATCTCTTAGTTTCTTCTTGAATGGCTAAACTGACTCATGTTTGCAAGGGAAGCCTTTTTTGAAATGTGACTGTTTATAAATGTGTTCTCATCAAATACACGTGAGTGATTCATCCGCACCCCTAATCTTTTCTTTTTCATGTACAGAAAGTTGACAGCAGTAATGAATGGCATTGTGGGATGTATGAAGGTGAACAGCAGCAGAAGAATGGCCTCCTGAGATTTTCTTATTTTGCAGGTTGATTTACTAATCTGCAGTTGGGTTTGAGAATTATACTTAAACATTTAGGGAAATTAAACACATTTCAGTAATATTCTCATGTCTGTCTAGGCAACAGGTATCAGCTGATAAGCTTAGCTTTGCTCAGTAACTGTAACCTTTCAATCACAATAGAATTAAATACGTTATACTGTCAGAATACTTCAGAATACCCTTTTTGTCCTTGCACTTATGTACAAGCAAATTCCAGTTCGTCTCCTCTCAGCAGTGGATGGTTAAACAAATCAAGATGACAAAAATATATATATATATATTAACACTCGAAAAATGAAAAAGAATATATAGTAAAAAAGTATTCAGTAAAATTCATGAAATCTGAATCTGAAAAATGATAATCACTGTCCTGGTTCTTCATAGAGCTCATTTCCTTGAATTCACATCGGACAGGTTAGATGTTTCCGACTGTGTCCATTTCTTATGCTAAGCTAAGCTAACGTGGCCCTGGCTATAGCCTTATATTTACCACACATATATTAGAAAAGTTTGGATCTTCTCATTTAACCCTCCACAAGAAACAGATAGTAAACTTTCCAAAATGTAGAGACAGCGATATAACAAGCACCTGACACGTAAAACTTCCAGCAAGGCTGCTGAACGGCCTTTAACCTTTCTCCTCTAAAAAAAAAAAAAAAAAAAGGTTATGTTAACACTTGTGTTTATTTCTGGTTATTTAAAGTTAAGATTGTTTGTGAGCACAGTCAGGTTTTGTGTTTAACAATCCTAGAAATAGAGATTACATTTTTAATACAGCCTGACAGGAGGAGCTGCCTGTAAGACTCAAATCAGGGGATAGAATGACAGTCAGGATATAGATACTGTTAGCACGACTGGTGACTGGCACCTCGGCATGTATCTAGGCAGACAGGTGAAGAGCACCCTGGGATGCCGTGTAGATAGATTGTTAGGTTTACAGATGAATGGCCCCACGGGATGCTGACAGGAAGACAGATGAATGGCATGCTGGGATGTCGAGTGCAAGATGAACGGCATCAGAGCCGTAAACTGGTGAAGACAGGAGAATGCCATTCAGTGCCGCTATAGGTGAAAAAAGGGCACGACGGGCTGTGAGAATTAAGATAAATTAATGACTTCCAGCGAGACATAAATGAATCCAAGTTTCTCAATGTCACTTAATGCCATTTGAAAATTTTATTCAATACTTTACCCAGACGCCTAAACTCAACAGCTGCTCATTCATGAAGTCATCGTTTTCAACCCTGGTGCAGAAGCATTCCCTAAGGCAGTATTGGTTTAGTTGTATTTTTGTATGAAATACGGATAAATTGTGATTCCACTTTGCATTCATTAAATTATAGGTCACTGCGCTATTTTTCCCTCACTGCTGGATTATTTCTTTCGATGATCTTAGCTCTTTACGATGAAATTGACTAGATTTATTCTTGCTGATATATTTACCTACAGTTTGAATATAGTCACAGATATATTTGAGTTGAGGTGTTCCATGGTTACTGCAAAAAACCAAGTGGACTGTGTATATTCAATTTGGAGGTGTGTTTTTTAATGTAAAATATTTTTGTATAAAAATAAATGAATCTGAATGACTTTATCAGCTATCTGTGGTCACGTTCATTCCTATCCAGAGCACTCAGAGTGTCTGAGTGATGTACTGAAAAGGAGGCCAGCCTTGAAGACAGATGAAGGTAACGTGACAGCTTGCAGACACCAACTGGGAGCTGCTCTCCTTCTCTCTGATGTTCACTCTTAAGCATGTTTTTATCTTGTAATGGTCACTGCTGTTCATCGAAATGCAACACACACACACACACACACCGCCTCAATCACACCACCAGCCACACTCGTTCTGAGGGGCTTTAGGTACAGATCTGCTGGCAGAAGATTATATATATATCCAGATTTGTTCCCACACAAATATATCAGACAAGTAGTGTCACCTGATCCAAAAATATCAGCAGCTCAGATCCTGCTCAGTTTAGATCAGAGTGAACTGTGGTTGGCAAACAACTCAAAAGCTTGGGAACATGGCACACCACAGATTCCTCTGTCACTCAAACATCAGCCTCACTTCTTAAATGAGCATTTAATTAACGGCGAGGCTACAGAGAACCTCCAACTGAAAATGCACAACCAAATTACACCCATTCTTTCTTTTCTTTCCCAAGATTTATTTTTGGGCTTTTTGTGCCCTTAATTTAGAGACAGTGGATAGAGCCAGAAATCAGGGAGAGAGAGAGAGAGTGGGGAATGACATGCGGGAAAGGAGCCACAGGCGGGATTCAAACCTGGGCCACCTGCTTGGAGGACCAAGGCCTCCATACATGGGACGCACGCACTAACCACTGCGCCACCAGCACCCCAATTACACCCATTCTTTGTGTGATCAAGTTTAGAATCCTCTAATAGCATGTCTGCCGTTCAAATCCTCCTGTGTGATTGTTTTTTATTTTTCATTCTCATTTGCTATCATGCATTCAGAGAAAACATGCTCACACACAACAGCCATAGTGGTTTGTCGTAATAGGTTGTACCTTTGTTACATTTGTTAATATACTTCTTTTTTTTCTTGTAATTTGCCATCATGTTAGTTTAAAATGAATTCATTGTTATTCCTTCTTCATCTCCCTTTTGTCACGTCTTGCAGGCCAGGTTGGCAATTTTTCTTCCCTCGTCTTGACACACTCGAGTGGTGTTAATTAACCAGTGTGGCCCTGCGGCTACTGAGAGAGAGCACCTGCTCCCAGGGGGGCAAAAAAAACCAGCAGGACAGGTGACTTTTCAGCTCTCGGTCACACTGATCCTTTTAAAGCTGTTACTTTAACCAAACCTAATTGTTGTAATTGCAAATGTCATAGTTTTTACGTTTTTTTTTTTTTTTTTTAACAAATAATTGATCAGAGAAGTGTAATAAATTGTATTTTTTTTTCAGTAGAATTGCTGAATTTCAAGTCATTGCTTTTTCAAACATCATTCCATTTTAATCAGTAGTTCCAACATTCCCTGTGTTGAATTAAAGCATCACGCCCTGGCTCGGTCCTGAGTGGCAGTGCTGTGCTGTGTGACAACTTTGCGGAATATTTTCAGACAGGCAGGTTTACATCATTAAGATGTAGCCTTCAGTGTCTCCTGAGGCCGTCAACTATGTCTGCATCATGTTTTAGGTCCTGCTGCATAATCCAAATAATAACTTACAAACGAACACAATATATTACATTTTATAAGAAGCATTATACTTTTTATTCTGGGACATTTCCAGAACTTTATCCATTATCTATGTTATGTAATGAACCTTGGTTTAACCACTGATACAGACCTTCAGATGAGGACATGATTACTCACCTCTAAATAAAACTGAGGTTGACTATTTTCCACTACCAAGGACCATGTTCTTCAAGTGTTCATACCTCAAACACTGTAAAACTTCTGATGTGTGGAGCTCTTAGCCAACCTGAATATCTTCACAACACTGAGTTGAAATGCAATTCCAAAAGCCTGTGGCAGAAAATAATAAATAGTGTGTAACAGGTAGAGTGCATAGCATGCAATAAAGTAAAACCGTCCCCACAGTTACGTCACTGTGCAAGTGCACAAATGCAATCTAATGCAAAGCAGTGAGGAAGAGGGAGGGTCTGCAGCAGGGCTTGGTTCAAGCTTGCAGGGGGAGAGACTATCTGGTAGACTTATCAGTCTTGATTCAGGCAGACGTCTACCGCCATACCTCAAAAGGTCACATTAAATTAGTTTCTTGCCCACACAGGCTGAGGGATTCAGCGGAGGGGGGAGGTGGGTGGACCTGTTCATTTCCTCTCAAAGTTTGAGCAGAGACATTACTTTCACTCTAAACATCTGGTTCCACACAGTGACTGAGCGAGGGACTTCACCTTGAATCACCTTGAAAATGTCCCGACTACGATACAAGCATCGATGTTGGATACTCAAAGTACAAACAAAAATAACTATGTAAGTACTAAAGCAAGCCCTTTTTTTTTTGTCTGTTTTTGGACATTTTTATTTCTTACACCTAATATCACCTATTTGAATGCTGTCAGAGTTGCACTGAAGAAAAAAGCCAAGAGAACACTCTGGTTGACAAAATAATTGCATGCAGGCAACGTGAGTAAAAAAATGTTTTGATTCTAATAGGATATGGCTAATAAATAAGTATAGACCTGCAGACTTTCTGGATCTTTCTTGTCAGTCAGTCTGGACCCTCTCTGGTCAACACACTTTATTCTGTACAATGCTTCAGAAGCACTTGTTCTGGTAAGAACAAAACAGAAACATATTACTTTTTAAAACAGTACATCAATGCACTCAACACAAACTAACTGTCCTACATTGGATGTAAAAAGTTGGAGGCATATAAGCATGTACACACCAGCTATTAGAATTTTAGATACAGTAGCCTAATGTTTGACTGTAATTCGTTTTTTTTTTATTGCCATGATGGGAAACTCAATGTATCACTAAAGAATGTATGCTACTTTGTGTAAAAAGTGTGAAAACCCTTTTGGCCACAGTAGGAGCAACACAATAGTTGTAATCGGTTGCCTCAAGTGATGTAAGTTGAGTCACCATGAGATCATCAGACCACAGAGTCTGGCCTTCATCTTTGCTTGACACTAGGTGCTTGAGGCTGGATTGGCTAAAAAAAAGTCAGAACAAACTGTCATTGGGTGAATTGCATTGTGTTGTGGGTAATCTAGACTCTATGGGGTTGGATTGGGAATACAGAGGTTGTGAAATGAAATAAAAATGTATTGTTTCGCCTTTTTAGTCAGTCGAAGTCACAGGAGAAGATGTAGGAGTTTACTACTGAATCAGTGGAATCCTCCCTACAAGGGCCCTTCAGATGAGCTCTTCAAATCAATTTCCTGTTATCGAGAACATTGGACATATTTAGCACAGCTCCTGAATACTGAGTTATCCTTCTTGTCGTCATCCTTGACATTGACACTTCACAGAGTAAGTGTTTGTCATATCAGGAGGCTTGTTAAAGTGCTGTAGAGAGAGCATCAGAGCGTTTGTCAAATGTTCAGATTTGTAAAATGAAACCACTGAACTAATATTCAATGGCTAGTGTGTTTCCATCTGGAGTTAGACCCACTTGATGATTTAAAAAAACACTTTAGTCTATGAATACCAAAGTCTCCCTCGAGTCCAAGGCTCACTCGGTTGTAATAGAGTGTATTGAATTTCCCTTAGCTTCTCAGTTTAATTATCTGGCATAACCTAATGGCGGGGATCACACATTTGAGCATTCAATGCGGTTTGCAGACAAAACTATTATGCTGATCAAGTCCTTAAAGTTCAATTTGTTGCGGTGATGACTTTGAGAAAGTATTGACCTTCACAGCATGATCCGTAGCTTTCCATCTACATGAAAAAGCTGGAGACCATTGAGCTGTGTGGGTGTGATGTAAGGCTGAAGAGTACAGGGTACAGTGTCATGGTATTAGCTAAGTAGAGAGTGACCTAGCCCTCGGTCAAGGAGGTACATTTCTTTATAATAAACAAGATTCATAAGGTTATGATGCTGTAAAACATGACACTAAGCAGTTTGAGTGGAGACAAGTGAATATGGAAAGAAGAAAGAAGAAAATATTTATTTATATAAGAACTTGTGTTTGTGCATCACCTTTTCATATTATTTTTTTTTTGTATTGACTTGCATAAAAAGGAAAAAATGAGCACTTTTCCAAGTGTTTCTTTAGTCACAGATCAGCATTGAAGAGTTGTTTCAGATATAATAAAATGCAAATTTGGATCAGAACATAAGCTGCAGGAGATAAAGAAATTGTAATAACAACAACAGCAAAAAGATCCACACACATTGTTAACATTTTTGTTTCCCTAATTGCCTTTCTTTACTTTCTTGAAGGCTTATCTTTACTTTACGGTATCCTTGCCTCATCAAAACATATCCTCATCGACAAAAAAAATCAATCCTAGCTATTTAACAGTTTTGTAAGACCATCACTAACGTTGGGTATATTTTACCTGATATAATATACCCGATGAAACTTCCCATCAAAATATATTAAAGAACAACATGGCAAATTGAAATACTCTTCCTTTATTTACCCCTATACAAAGTCCCATAAAACGTAGGTACCATGGGGGGCTCTCAAATTAGAGAAAAATTAGCGAATTGTTCATGAAAAAATCCTAAAATAAATCAATAATGGAGCTGGGAACTTGTTTTTCGGTCCACTTGTTCCTGAGACATGTGAGCCTTGTCTGGTGAAGGCTAAGTCTCTCACTGCATTACTGACAAGTGTGGGAAATATTTTACTCGCTATCACTAACGTCAGGTAAAACTCACCCAAACAGGTGCCCTTTGATAAAACCAGGGATTGGAGCAGGGAAACACACCTAACTTCAGTGACATCAAGGGGCAGCAGACAGCAGCAACGCAATGAAATTCATGTGACCACAATCACTTCAGATGGACCTCAAGAGAGACAAGTCACCATAATGCCCATTGTGCTTGAGAGTGTATGACTATCTTTCAGACATACACATAATGGACCTTCATTACATTAATTCCAGATAAGGAAAAATTCATAATTATAGAAAAAGTCAGTGATT